CATCACTAATCACTTTATACGGCAAATGCTACTTTTAACAACCCCACAATATCACCACTTCCCAGGACCTCTCAGCCACTTAAGACAAGATGCCTTGCCAACCCTCCCCGTTCACCGGCCTGTCTTATCCCCAGTCCTGTTTCACAGCCTTCATCCTTCTGGGATCAGCCCGAAACACCCACCCACCCCTCAAGAATTCCAGGCAACACTGGGCTAAGTAAGGTCAAGATGCAGCAATGACAACTCTCCAGAACCCGCATAGAACTCTTTCAATCCAAGTCTCCCTGGACGACATCCTGTCCAATCTTGACCCAAGGCTTCATCACCAGCCACCTTAAAGCTATTATGCTTCAAGGACTTAACTAAACACTTAATAAACGATAAGAATCACAGATTTTTTTTTTTAAGGTATCCTCGAAGCCCCCGTCATGCTTAAAGAAGCCATGAGAAACATCACCCCTACTCACTTCTCTAACTTTTTTCTTTATACAGATATAAAAACATGAGAATGTCAGGCCTCCAAGTCCAAGCCTGGCCATTATAGCCTGAGTAACCTGCATGTACACCTCTGGATGGTCCCCAGGGGCCAGAAAGTCTGAAATGCCACAAGTCACCAGGTGGCCATAGAAAGAAGAGAAACAACTTGTTCCAACCTCAACTAACGGCTCGCCCCCTGAAACCTGAAACCTGCAACCATTGTTCTGCTCATCCTCACAGAATTTACCGCCTGGACATTGGGTTTCTCAGGGCCCCAACCCCTGTAACTATGTAATTTGCCTCACCCTCCCCTCTGCTTGCAACCAATAACCCCTTAACCTTATGATAATGCCTGTTTGTAATAGATGACCCCTACCCTTGTGATTAAGCATCCTGTGACACCCGTCCCCTCCTGAAGATAGATTACTGACCTCTACCCTTGTGGTCATGCATCCCGTGATGCCCTTCCCCTCTCTAAAATACATTACCACCTTTAACTGACCACTTGCCCCAACCTATAAAACCAGCTCTTATCCAACTGCCCTCTGCTGACTCTCTTTTCGGACTCAGCCCACACGCACCTGGGTAAGTAAACAGCCATGTTGCTCATACAAAGCCTGTCTGGTGGTAGCTTTACTTGAGTGATGCGTCTAACAGTAGGTACCAATAAAACACCTTCCCTTCTAATTCTCATTATTTGCATTTTTAATTGACAAATAATAATTGCATGTATTTTTGAGGCCCTTCTACTTTCTTAGCCTAAATGACTATGTCAAAGAATAAAATAGTTTAATTTCATTTCCTTTTCCTATTCTTGGTAAGATGCTACTACTTAACCTAAAGCTCTAAACACTCACCTTATCCCTTATCCAACAGATTCCTTGCTTTCCTCATCACTCCTTTCTTTCCTCTACCACGTATTTTTAGCTAAATACCTTCTTTCTCCCCTTGCCCTCTATCTGCCTGTCACCTATGCTCCCTTCCAACCACTTTGTATCACCTGGTTTTGCCTAGATGTTGGTGTGTACACAAATGTACTGCTATATTCTTGGGTGTAATGTACAAGGCACAACTGTAAAACAATGGCATTGTTCTTTCAGAACACATGTAATTAAGTGCTGATGTCTTCCAGTACTCACCTTTAAAAGACTATTCTAGTAATACAATTTAACTCAAAATATATTTTATGAACCGAAGAAAACCTAAATACATATTCCATATTCTTATTCTTAAAATTTCTTCCAAGTCCTAAGAATATATCAACATTATTAAGAAAATAATTTGATGACCACTTGCCAAGTGCTAAGCACAAGTCTTAGAATGCAACAACCCTATGACACAGGTAGCCTTTTAAATTCAGTTGAACCATGAGAAATTATCTTTCTGTAAGTGAAAATATGCACTGCTCACATTTTCAAAAACTAAGCCCAAGGTCACACAGTAGTTAACTGCAAAGTTACAACCCAACATAATCTCTAACCATGACAGATTTTTAATCCATGTTCAAAATAGGAAAGACATGACTTTACAGCAGTTTGTGAATGAAATAAGATGGAAAAAACTTTCCCAAAGAGCTTCTGGTTGATAACAAGTTCAATAGCCAGTAATTCTAGGCCAAGGTTCCAAATAAGTCGATGTAAAATCCTGTAAAATTGGAAATACTGGGTCTGTCTAGACACACACAAAAAAAGAATAGTGTTGTACTTGTCACTAGTCAGCTATTCACAAGTTATGTCATTTTGGTTACTAATCTGAGATCTAAGTCTCTTTTCCATAAAATGGAATTTGCTTTTGACCTGTATCTCAGTGACGACATGGGTTTAAAATAACTTATGAGAAGCCAGAAGCGGTGGCTCACTCCTGTAATCTCAGCACTTTGGGGGGCGAAGGCAGGTGGATCACTTGAGGTCAGGAGTTCTATACCAGCCTGGCCAACATGGTGAAACCCAGTCTCTACTAAAAACACAAAGATTAGCCGGGCATGGTGGTGGAGGGGCCTGTAATCCCAGCTAATTGGAAGTCTAGGGCAGAAGAATCGTTTTAACCCTGCAGGCAGACGCTGCACTGAGCTGAGATTACACCACTTGCACTCCAGCCTGGGCTACAAAGTGAGACTCTATTTCAAAAAAAATTAATAATTATGAACATTGGCAGCACGGTTGAAACAAATGCGAAAGGAACATAAGACCTCATTCTTGGATGTTTCCAGTGAGACAGAGAGAGGGATGAATTCCATTCAAACTGTCATTATTTGAATAGACTAATATTCAATTCCAGTGTAGACCTCATGCCAGGCTGCTCCTGGGAGTGACCCCAGGGGCTTCCTGGGGAGAAGGGCTTAACTACTGTGACTTCTACCAAAGAGTCTCAGTCTCATCTTTACGTTGGTATTTAAGAAAACATCAAAAGGGTAAACTTTTTCACCACCTCCCTCTTCAATCCAGCCCCAAGCACTGTGTATATGCAGATAAGGATACCAAAGGAGTTCAATGAAACTCCTTAAAATTTTCAGCTGTCTGCCCTGGGGCAGTTCTGTGAAAAAAAAATTTTTTTTTCACCTGTCAAATTTGTTTTGATAGCTGGCTACGAAACCCATAAGGGTAAGAGCAATTTTAACTTTTCCTAGGGAGTAAGCTGGGAGCGTAGAAGGCCGTAGGGTACTCTTAGTCGAGATATAAAAATTATAGCTCACTCCTTCACTTAGTCTACTGACTCTGAAGTTCAATTTTCCTCAAGACTATTCTATGGCAGACTTCAACCACCAGGTGGCACAATTTTAGAAAATAAATCAATCAAGAGCGGGCGCTATATTAACTCTAGTATAAAGAAAATGGGTAAGCATTCTAATAACGCACTTCAACAAATCTATAATCACGGGGGAAAACCCTGTATTTTAATGCCAGTTGGCTTTCTTTCGAAAGATTTTCCTATTGTGCAGCTGTATAGGAAATTTACACTACAGTTGTAATTTCTAACGTTATTTCAAAAGAAGCAAAAAACAAAGCCAGACCCGTTGTTCAGAGTCTGAAGAATCTGTTCTCCAGAAAAAACTATCCACAGATAGCCGGCCTGTAATCCCAGCTGCTCGGGAGGCTGACGCACGAGAATCACTTGAACCCAGGAGGTGGAGGTTGCAATGAGCCGGGATCACGCCACTGCACTCCAGCCTGGGCAACACAGCAAAACTCCATCTCAAAATAAAATAAATTAAATTAAAATATATAAAATAAACATATATTTTAAAGCCTACATTTCGGCCCTACTATCAGTTAAATAATTATTTTTCAACTTTTCAAACTATGAGTCTAACTATGAGCCATACCGCAGGAGAGGTAGCAGACAGTCGGGGACTGCCTCCCCTACCCACTTCGACTTAGCGCAAAGGCACCAATTCTAAACCGGTGCCACTGAGAAAGAGACTGGCGCTGGCAATGTAGACCCCGTGCCAGGCTGCTCCTGGGAGTGACTCCAGGGGCGGCCTGGGGAGGAGGATTTAACTACTCTGACTTCCACCAGAGTTTGAGTGAATGCGCCCTCGCAGCTTTCCCTGAACAAACATTACCAAAGCACTCTGCTCCGTGAATTTCAGAGAAAAATATCGTCCATACATCTCAAGGAAGGCAGGGGCACGTGAGGGAACATTCTTGCAAAAGCACGTGGTAAATGCCCAATCGATGTTTGCTGAATGTTGAATTCATGAGTCTGAGAAACTGACAACTAGTTCAGGCCTCAACGCAGTAGGAAAAGGATGGAAAATAAACTCATTTTAAATCAACTCAGCAAGTGCAAAAGCCACGAATGAAGAGGAGATACGAAAGGCATCACAACGTAATTCCTTTGCCCTCAAAAACTTCCACGCCTTTAAGGTTTAAATGAAGACTTCCAAAACTAATTTACTTAACACTCTACATAAAACCCGTGATCTTTAAACCCAAGAGAAGAAAGGTCAATGTCTTACTTTCATGAAAAAAAAGTACTGAAGGGGAAACAAGAGTGAAGCGTACTGACGGGGCTCTTAGTGGGTTCTCACATCACAGAGACAACTTTCACTGCAGCTGAAAAGTGTTTGAACGACTCCCGTTTTCCACCCGCAAACTGTCAACTGCTATTTAAACAACAATAACAGTTTATTAAGCGCTCATCGTGTCAAACTCTGTGGAGAGGGCTCCATTCCTCAAAGCCGAGCGATGGGTTTTGCCCGTTTTACAAGCGAAGAAGCCTCGGCTCCGGGAGGGGAGGAGCGCGGCCAAGGTCAGCCAGTGAGCGGCAGGCGGATTCGAACCCCGAATGACACCCAGGGCCTGTCTCAGCCACCAGCGTATCCCCCAGCGAGCGCCCAGGCACTCCACCCGCAGCCTCCCCAGCGCAGGAGCCCGGCTGTGGGCCTGAGGGAGCCGGGTCTCCCTGGTCCTAACTTCCCGGGCCGGCGGGCGGCAGGAAGGGGCTCGGCAGGGCGCGCCGTCAGGGGACCTGAGGAGGGACGACAGACCGCGCTCGGAACCGCCCGGACTCCCGAGACTCACCCGACTCGCGGCCACACCGGCAGGGCCGAAGCGAAAGTCACCGACGAAGACGCCCGACCCGAAGGCAGGCTACCAGAGTCGAGGACTGAACCGCTCCCCAAGCGACGAACGCCGGGGACGCACTCCACCGGTGTCCTGGCTCCCCGCCCCCGCCGCCCGCGGGCCTCAAGGCGCCTGCGCCGCCAGGCCTGGACGGGCCCACTTTTGTGCGCTCTAGGGGGAAGCACAGCGAGTCCACTGAGGCACGGCGTACCCTGCCGAGCGTCTAAGCCACAAGCCGAGCACACAAGCCAGGCTCGAGGAGCCTAAGTGCAAGTCCACTACTGGTGCACGACTGTACATTTCTAAGAAGAGCGGCGCGGGAGCTCGGCGAGCTTCGCTTCAGTCGCTCCCCCGTGCAGTTCCCTGTGCCCAAGACGCTGCCCGAAGCTTGAGCTCCGGTGGGCGGGGCCTGGAGGCAGTGGGAACTGCAATTGGTAGCTTTGAAGGCGCGACGGGCGGGAACGGTAGCTGAGGAGTGAGACGGCAGGAGATGTGGGTCGGTAAGAGAGCCCCGGGCGGCAGTGGAGCGGGCCCCGGAGGGTGCCAGAGGGTTGAGGAAGCCAGATCCCAGGTCTCGGGGTCCGCTTTCTCGGGCTTGCCGCACGTTGTGAGGCGCAGGATTGGCGCTGGGTCTCGGGCTCGGGGAGGGGAACTGCGGTAGGGGCCTAAGTGAAAGGGGGCGGTGACGCTGGGCCAGCCGTGGCGTCACCTCGCCCGCGGTGGGGCGGGGCTGAGCCCTACGTAAGCGTGTGTCTGCGTCAGAGGCCGGCCGTGTGGTCATGTGACCCGGGACTCCGCTCTCTCTGGGTTGTTGCCTGGCCCAGCGTTGGGGTTTTGCCTTCATGCCACCTCGGCTTCCGTCGTTTTTCGGCTTGTAGCCTCTTGGGTTGCTCCTCGCGCTGCCTGTTTAAAAGGGATCTTTTTGATCATGCGTTCCACAAATCTTGAGCATCTACTTTATGCCAGGCACTAAAGCGCTAGGAAGTACAAAGAAAGTTTGAAAATGGGGCCTAGCGCGGTAATTCACGCCTGTAATCGCATCACTTTGGGAGGGCGAGGCAGGCGGATCACCTTAGAGGTCAGGAGTTCGAGACCAGCCTGGCCAATATGGTCAAACCCCCGTCTCCACTAAAACTACAAAAATTAGCCGGGCGTGGTAGCAAGTGCCTGTAATCCCAGCTGCTTGGGAGGCTGAGGCAGGAATATCGCTTGTACTGGGGAGGCGGGGGTTTCAGTGAGCCGAGATCACACCACTGCACTCCAGCCTGGGCGACAGGCTCTGGCTCAAAAAAAACAGCCTGGCGCGGTGGCTCACGCCTATAATCCCAGTACTTTGGAAGGCTGAGGCGGGTGGATCGCGAGGTCAAGAGATCGAGACCATCGTGGTCAACATGGTGAAACCCCGTCTCTACTAAAAAAAAAAAAAAAAAAAAAAAAAAAAGTTAAAAAATTGTCAGTGGGGTAAACATTTACTGAAGGGATTTCCAACTTCATTGGTGAGATTGAGTGCGCTCCAAATTTCTTTAGACAGGCGTTCTGCAAACTTTACACAGAATTATCTGATGTGCTCTTTAAAAGATGCTAAATCTCCAGCCCTCCATGTCCCATCCTCACAGTTTAACTCGATAGGGCCCAGGAATCTTCATTTTAACAGCCTAGCCTTGCCTGTGTGTGTGTGTTTTTGTTGTTGTTCTTGTTGTTTGAGATGAAGTCTCACTCTCGTCCATGCTGGGGAGCAGTGGCGCGATCTCTATCTCGGCTCACTACAATCTCCTCCCAGATTCAAGCGATTCTCCTGCCTCAGCCTCCCGAGTAGCTGGGACTACAGGTGTGCACCACGATGCCCGGCTAATTTTTGTATTTTTAGTAGAGACGGGGTTTCACCATGTTGGCCAGGGTGGTCTGGAATGCCTGACCTCAAGTGATACACAGCGCCTGACCCCTCGCCTGTGTTCTTAATGGGAGAAGTGTTGACTTGATGTTTCACTTACTGCTGAATCCCAGTCAGCCCAGGTTGTCTCCTCAGGCATTCATTCCACAAGGATTCATTTATCAAGGACGCATTAGACTGTGCTTGGGCTGACTAGACTTAATTGACTATAGTGACGAAGTTCTGGATTCTAGGAGCATAGCTGTGAATAAAAACACCGTCCTGCCCTAAAGCTCAATTTTAGAAACAAGAAAAAAGATAGTTCTGTAAAGGCAATTAGTAGTGGATAGCCTGGTACAGTGGCTCACGCCTGTAATCCTAGCACTATTGGAGGCCAAGACAGGAGAACCACTTGAGACCAGGAGTTCAAGAACAGCCTGGCCAACATGGTGAAACCGCATCTTTACTAAAAGTTGCTGCGCATTGTGGTGCACACCTGTAATCCCAGCTACTCCAGAGGCTGAGGCAGAAGAATCATTTGAACCTGGGAGGCAGAGGCTGTCAGCGGTACACCCCAGCCAGGGTGACAGAGCAAGACTCCGTCTTAAAAAAAAAAAAAAAAAAAAGGCCGCGTGCAGTGGCCGACCCATGAGTTCCCTCTGAAAAGGGTATCCAGAATCTGACCTCTTCCCCTGCCTCGCTAACCTCCAGCTTCTGCCCTCGCCTCCTTAGACTGCGTTGTCAGTACAGTAGCCAGATTGATCCTGGTAGAAAAGCTAAACAAGAGCGTGTCCAGCCTGTGCTCAGCACCTTGCAGAGTAAAACAAGCAGTGATCCCGAGTGGCTTTCAGGGCCCTCCACGATCCCTGATCTCACCTCGTCTATTCCGCCTTCCTCTCCCTGCTGTCCCCTCACTGGAGGCCACCCTCGTCCCTTTTCCTTGAAGGCCCCAAGCAGGCTTTTGCCTCAGGACTTTTGCAGATGGTGTTCCTTCTGCCTGGAAAGCTCGTCCACACATGGCTCCTTCTCCTGCAAGGATTGTCCCAAAGTCGTATTCTCTCCAGCACTCCCACCCTCAACTCAGCCTGTCTAACTTGATTCCATTTTCTCCAGCACTCCTCACTTTTAACATAGTTTGTGGTTTCCCTGTTGTTTCTCTCCTCCACTAGAATGGATGTGCCATACTGGAACAGATAATTGTTTTTTTGGCCAAAGAAATAATCTATCCCCAGTGCCTAGAAAAGTGCCTGGCATGCAGAAGTAAGGGGTTACATGAATCAGTGAATGAATGAATGAGCTATAGATCATCACCATCAAAAGATCGAAATACTCTAGCCAAGAAACGAGAGACAGCACCAATTTTTAAACTCTAAAGCATGTAAATATACAATTGAAGGAGAAAATAAATGCTCACGCTGAAACACTGCAGAATGGCTGGAAAAGGGTAAAGATTTAGGTGTTTGACCTACAAATCAAAATCCCAGCTAAATATGATGCTAATGGCTGGGTGCGGTGGCTCATGCCTATAATCCCAGCACTTTGGCAGGTTGAGGGTGGGTGGATTGCTTTAGTCTAAGAGTTTAAGACCAACCTGGGCAATGTAGTGAGACCCTATCTCTATTTTTCATGCGTTGTATATATGTAAATAAAGATAGACAAGTTTTGTATTTGGTTAATACTTTGTTGTGCTGCTTTTGCTTCGTTAAAGTGCCAAAGGGATGGATGAGACTGTTGCTGAGTTCATCAAGAGGACCATCTTGAAAATCCCCATGAATGAACTGATAACAATCCTAAAAGCCTGGGACTTTTTGTCTGAAAATCAGTTGCAGACTATAAATTTCCGGCAGAGAAAGGAATCTTTAGTTCAGCACTTGGTTCGGCTGTGTGAGGTAACAGTGTTCAAAATGATGAGTCTTGAACAAAATGCTACCCCTCTGGGTTTTTCTTTCTTCTGTTTCTTACTCCAAAAGAAATGTAAGGTAGCTGCCAAACTACTAGTGAAGGGATGAGGGCTACATACAACTGCAGTGGAAAATAAACTAATTTTTAATTGACCTTTTCATCTTAAAAGAATGCTAACAGCCGGCCCGGTGGCTCACGGCTATAATCCCAGCACTTTGGGAGATTGAGGCAGTGGATCATGAGGTCAAGAGATCAAGACCATCCTGGCCAACATGGTGAAACCTTGTCTCTACTAAAAATACAAAAATTAGCTGTGTGTGGTGGTGCATGCCTGTAGTCCCAGCTACCAGGAGGGCTGAGGTAGGAGAATCACTTGAACCTGGGAGGCAGAGGTTGCAGTGAGCCAAGATCACAGCACTACATTCCAGCCTGGCAATACAGCGAGGCTCCATTTCAGAAAAAAAACAGAAAAAGAATGCTTACAAATCAATAAGAAAGAAAAAGTGAATACCATAGGAGGAAAAAAAAACTCAGTACAAATTTAAATAAGGAGCAGTAATTTTTGCAGTATTTTTTAAACCTATCTAATTATCAAGTATGAAAAGACAACAACACTCAGATGTGTTGGCAAAGTTGCAAAGAAATGACTCTGTCTTTCATGTGTATTTATCTGTTTAATTGCTTTTTGTTTTTTTTT